CCAGCCCTTTGACACTCTGCCCAGGCCAAGCTCTTTAAATTTGTCACCATGAAACATTTTCTCAAGTCCTCAGGTCATTTCTGTGGCTGTTTTTGCCTCCTCTCCAGTTTTGTAACACCTTTAAATATTTGGTAGATCATAGAGCGGGGAGGAAATGGAAGCAGCCTGGACACGGGCCTGGAGCCCAGCCAGAGGGCACAGCGGGTGGGTGAGGAAGGCATCCATAGTGCCAGGAATGTGCTTCCTTCTGGGATATGCAAGAAAGCTGGGACTTCTGAGTCTTGGCATTCCTGTGCTGGGTAGCAAACTGCCCATCCTTCTTCAACAGCGGTGGTCTCTGCTCAGATTATCCTCACTGGGCAAGAAGGTCTTTGTGAGCACTCTTGTTAAGTCTGATACAGCAGTTTGCTTCTGTGGAAATACCTGATTTTCCTCCCTGTCAGGACACTTCTCTGCTTTATCTGCACCCTGGTCAGGCAAGACAGGCTTGTGCTTTAAGGTGTGACATCCTGTGGACACTACGCACTAGCACAGGCCTTTTTCTTCCTTCCAGTCCTGTTATTTTAAATCTAGGAGTTATATTTAAAATGTAACCCTAACTTTTAATCTAAGCCCCAGTATTCAGGATGTGCCAGACTTGGGGAAGGAGCTGTGGTTTCAGAGCAGGATGCTGCCCTTCCTCTGGCAGGGTGTATCTGCGTTACGGTGGGCAAGCCAGAGAGGTGGAGACTTTCCACAGTTCACTGTTTGTGCCTTTCTTGTTAGTAGAGCATGTGGTTTGGGAAAGCTGCAGAAGTGTTCGCACTGCGTCAAGAGAATTGGGGTTTGTGTGGTGGCCAAGGGGCTCTGAGAGGGCTGAGTGTGGTGTAAGCCAGGCTCCAGCATCTCAGAGGCCTCAGAGTCAGAGGCTTCGTGGTCTAAGTCATCAGTCTGTCAAGGGGGACATGCCACAGGTTGTTTGTTGCGAAGGTCTCAGTGTTGTTTCTTGACCATTTAGACCTGGCACTTCAGAGAAAAATACAGGAAGAAACTAGCTTTTGTTGCTGAGCTTGGGGTTTGTGTAAAGCAAATACCAAAAGAGGCATGAGGTATTGATCAGCACCCGCGTGGGGCAGAGACTGGAGGAGACTGCAGCGCGTGACTGCGCTGTGAGAGTGACGGGTGAAGGAGTGCACAGAGGCAAATTTGGGTTGAACTCGTGACTCTCATGTGTTTGTGTTCCTGGATTTTACGTCTTTCACATTCTTTTGAGGCAGTTTGTGTGTGTGGTTGTATGTGCTGGAAGCAACATCTGGATGATGGTGCGTGTGATGGGAGGAACAGTGCGCCTGGTGCAGGGGAGCTGGGGATGTGCTTGGACTGCTGTGCAGCAGAAAGCACCAGGCACTGTCCCTAGCTCAGCACTGCTGCTGGTCCCAACCCTTGGAACTTCTCTGCACCCCTTGCAGATTCGTACTGTGAGACGCTGCCTGTGGACGGCCCTCCCTCTTTCCGGGGACAGTCTGTGAAGTACGTGTACAAGCTGACCATCGGCTGCCAGCGCGTCAACTCCCCCATCAAGCTCCTGCGCGTGCCCTTCCGTGTCCTCGTGCTGCACGGTGAGGCCACGCACTGCCCTCCCTGCACAACAGGCCAGGCTGCACCCTGCCCCGCTGACACTCTCACCTTCTCCCCAGGGCTCAAGGATTACCAGTTCCCACAGGATGAGGCCGTTGCGCCCTCAAACCCCTTCCTGGAAGAGGAGGAGAGCTTGAAGAAAGACTCTCGCCTGGCCGACCTGGCCACAGAACTGCTCATGGTGGCCACCTCCCGACGCAGCCTGCGTAGGTCATATTCCCTGCTCCAGCTTGCTGTCCTTCCTAACCTGGGCATGGAGCACAAAGCCAGCTGCAAAAATCTCTCACTAACAAAACAAAGCTCCAACTGGGGCTGTGAGCAGCTCCATCAGGGCCTGCTTGGGTCAGGGCCTCCCAACCAGTCTCAGACTCTTCCTGCTTCAACCAGAGAGACCCTCTGGCCAGCATATCGCAGCCAGTATGTGGTTTTCTCTTGCTCACTGCAGGCATTTCCCAAAAGGAACACCACCTCCAGTGACTGCCCTTCACACCCAAGCAGCAGGCACGGGGTCATGTCATTAACCCAGGGCACTGCATGGAGCAGAGCCTTATCCTGACACAACTCCTACCGCCCTCTTCTTGCTCCACAGACCTGTATAACATCAGCAACACTCGTGGGAAGGTGGGAACGTTCTGCATCTTTAAGACCGTTTATAAGATCGGAGAGGATGTCATTGGGACCTTCAACTTCTCTGAAGGGGACATCCCATGTCTGCAGGTCATTGTTGGCTCTTGGGTCACTGGGGAGAGGCAGGGGTTTATGGTGGGGGAGAGTCAGAAGAGATTGAGATGGCACTGGGCTGCTGGGGGTTTCTACTGAGGGTTTCTAGTGAGACCCAGTTGGGGTCTCCTTGGAGTGTGAGCTGGGGAATGATCCAGTCCTGAGCTTTTTTGGGAAAGGGAGGCCACGGGCTTTACACAAGGGCTGTGTGACGTTGTGAGAACAAGCACCCTGCTGACTGTCCTGCAGTTCTCGGTGAGCCTGCAGACGGAGGAGAGCATCCAGGAGGAGTTCCAGCGCCGTCGGGGGCAGCCTGTCTCCTTCACCACGCACGCCCGCCATCAGGAGTCCTGCCTGCACACAGCCCAGAGCAGCTTCAGCCTGCCCATCCCGCTCAGCTCAACGCCGGGATTCACCACCAACATCGGTATGTACCCACCAGGGAAGGGACCTGCAGAAGGACTGCAGTGTCCCCAGCCCTGCCTTGCTCAGCAGGGCTGTGTCCCATGGGAGGGAGCTCGTCTCTGTGAGTGGGATCATTTGCATTTCCCCTTGCCAGGACAGCCAGCACTGAGACAGCTGCTGTCCCTGTCCCTTGTGATGTTGTCTCCTGACCCCCCTCTTGCCCACAGTGTCCCTGAAGTGGAGGCTGCACTTCGAATTTGTGACCTCTGGGGAGTCGGCGGGGACTTGCTTGGTTCGTGGGAGCCAGTCAGAGGCTGTTACCTGGACTGGGGTAGAGCAGATGGAAGTGGACACTTTCAGCTGGGACTTGCCCATCAAAGTTCTTCCCACCAATCCCATCCTGGCTTCCTACGTATCTCAGTTCTCCAGCACTAACTCCATCACCATCTGAAGTAGGGAGAGCTGGTGGGCCTGCAGTGCTGCAAGTGTGTGCCACTGGTGGGAATAGCAGGCAGGACTGTCACCAGCATGCCGTGGGGCATGCATCCCTGTGTCCCCTTGGCTTCAGCTGTGGTGCCCAGGTGGGCACCAGGCAAGTCTGTCCCGTCTGTGGGTGGAGGATCACTGTTCTTGTTGCAGAGTCCTGTGCTGCAGCCCTCAGCTGAGAGCTGGACCCTTCCTGCCTGGGTGAAGATGCGAGTCCCAGCACTCACCAAAACAAAATCTGCCTCCCAGGGAACTGCTGACATGCCTTTACCCCATGTGGGGCTTCCAAGAGGGAAAGGCCCAGCCCTGAGAAGGGAGAGGGAAGGTCTTCCAGTGAAGCTTCATACCACCCTTGGGTGAAAGCCATTCCCCTACAGAGAGACCGTACAAGCAAAGGTCTGGCATCCAGGTGAGGCACACTGCCCACCTGGGCTGGATGGGAGCCCACTCCCCTGTCCTGGCAGGCATCCTGCCTCTCAGAGAGGTGTCCCACACACACAGTCCAGTGCCATCCTCACCTGGAGGAGGCAGGTCCTGGCACACCAGCCCTGCACTGCCGACAGGTGCTGGTGACCTGGGTGCAACCCTGCTGCGGCTGCACAATAGTAGTGCAACTACAAAACTGAGCAGCACTGAGCCCCTGGGCTGTTGTCTGCCTGCATTCCTGGATGTAAAGGCATCCTGCTGGTCTCGGGATCCTTGGGGAGCTGTAGGGAATGCAGGTTGTGCATCCAGGAGCTGGGATGGAGATCTCCCTGCTCAACAGCAAGCTCCCCATTTCTACTAAACCTTCCAATGAACTTTCCTCTTTGCCTGGAAATAATAAACATCTGAATGTGCAAAACTCAGCCTTCCCAAGAGCCTTATTCCTGCATTGTTCCCAGTGGTGGACACATCCCACTCTGCGTGGCAGTCACAGGCTGGAGACCTCCTCTTTGTTCAGTATCTTTATTGCAAGAACAGAAACATCTACACAAGGCTCTGCACAACACAGCATGGCACCGGCTGGGGTGGGCTGCCAGGGTGGCTGGCTCCAGCCTGGCACATGTGGATTGCTTCTGCTTCCTGAGCCCCCCCTCCCTGCTCCCCTGCATGTCTGGGGGTGGGGGTCCTCCCAGGGGCTGTCTGGTGGTTCCCCCCGCACTGCTGCCCACCCAGGGCTGGCTCTGTTGTGGTGTTGCCCAGGGCTGACCTGCGGTGCCAGGGACCCCAGAACCTGCAGGAGCAGGGGCATTAGTGGTTCCAGAGGTGGGTTGTTCCCCGTACACTCTGGGAGCAGAGAAGGGGCTGGCCAGGTTCTGAGGGTCCTGCACGAGGGGCCATGATGCTCCCCAGTGAGCTCCCAGCAGCTTCTGTGCACAGGGATGTGGATCTGGGAGGGAGCAGGGAGCTGCGTCACTTCAGGCTGGATGTGGGAGTACAGGACTCCTGCGAGCCAGGCTGATTTAGTGCCAGAGCCCTTTCTTTAGTAACGAGGTTTTCTGCCCACCTGGGAGGAAATCCCGTAGGATCTGCATTCCCACCGGGTGCAGGGTATCTCACAGGAAGAATGCCCTGGCTTGGCTCAGGAAGCTGAAGGCAGAAGCAAAGCCGTACTGTGGCAGCGTGAGGGTGCAAATGTCAGCTCGGTACCATGGTGCGTGGATAGTGGTTTCCCTTGGAGGTGGCGGCGGTGACGTCTCTACAGGACGGGGCAGGTCTGGAGCATGCGGGAGGTGTGCTCTGGAGGAGGGAGGACGCCGCCGAAGGGGCGCGGGGCGCTGCCGAGCTTCTTATCTGCTCAGCCCTGCGCCCAGCACCTTGTTGATCAGCGGCTCGGGTGTGCCGGCCGAGCCCCACTCGTGCTCCACGGTCTTCACACAGGGCAGGCTGGGGTTGGCCTTCTGCACCACCGAGATCTGGCAGGTCTGCGAGTCGTAGTGGGCCTCGCACCAGTCGGGGAAGTCGATGGGGTGCTGGGTGCTGCGGAAGAGGGCACAGCGCCGTCAGCTCCCCCTGGTTTGTGCCGGAGGGCTGCTGGCAGGGCCAGCTGGCTTCTGCTGCTGCCAGCCCCCCAAACAGGGTGTCTTCCAGACCAGCTCGGGCTGGGACACAGCTCCCAGCACAGCTGAGCATCTCACTGTGCTGAGACACCCTTGCCCACCGCTTTGCCTCCCCAGCTTACCCCACCACCCTCAACGCCCCGGTGGGGTCCCGTCCACCTCTGTCCCTTGTCCCCGAGTGCCTGGTACCCCACAGCCCTCGGTGGGCTCTGACATCTGCTGCATTTGCAGCCACCAGACGCCCTGCTGTGGGCACAGGGGTGCTGTGGTGTGCAGCACTGCCAGGGACAGCCCACTCCAGTGCCCCTCAGCCCCTCACTCACGTCTCACAGCAGCCCACGCCAATGGGGTGCAGGCAGGTGCAGAGCAGGCAGTTGGTGCTCAGCCACGATTCCCCAAGGGAGAACTGCTTCCCCTCGTACTCACAGGGAGCTGCAAAGGAAGCAGTGGTGATGAGGACACATGGGCCTGTGCTGAGGGTGAGTGGGAGCCTCCTTGGCATCCCTGTGCCCTGATCAGGGTTGTCATGACGTCCCACCCACCTCATGGTACAGAAGATATATGGTGATCTGTCTACCACCCTGCAGGTATGGGATGCCCAGACATCTGCCAAAGGCAATGTACCCATCCTCTCCTGGCCATGCCCTGCAGCTCTCCCCACTACCCTGTGGGCCTAGAGCAGAGGCAAGTGGCTCTTGCTTCCTTGGAGAGGGCCAATCCAGCACCCTTTGGGGTCTGAGCATCTCTGCAGCCCTGAGAGGAGTCAACAGAGGAAAGACAGGCAGACCTCTTCTCTCTGCTACTAGTCCTTCACACTTGGCTCCAGACAGGCTCCTGCCAGGAGCCTTCATGGCCCAAACAGCTGTTTCTCAGCCAGAGCCCTGGGGAGCTGTTGTGTGGTTTATAGACTGCTCCTTCCACTCACCACTGGCCCACGATCCTGCTCCTGAGCTCAACACAGTCCCTTCCACACTTTGCAGGCACAGAGCAGAGCCCTGCCATGCTGGAAAAGCTGAGGCCTCCTCTTCCCATTAGCCTCTTCCCATCTCACTGCCTCACTTACCTTTAGCCTGGAAGTAGCATTTGGCCTGGGAGCCTGGCAGCTGGAGGAGGAGGGAGAGAAGCAGGCAAAGCCTGCCCCAAGCACACCCCATCTTCTGAGCTTGCACGGCCATGGTTGGTGTTAAGCTGGGCTTGTTCACCTTGCTTCACTATTGCCTTTGCTTCTTCCCTTCTCTTTCTCTCTCTCTCGCTCTCTGCCTTTTTAATGCTCTTCCCCCATCCCAAAAAGAGATATTTATAAAGTTCAGCTTTACGACCCTGGCCACCAGCTGTGCCCCACTGGAAAAGTTGTAAAACTCATTTCCTGATTTGAAAGGCATGAAAACAAGAGGTAGGATCAAGATTTTTAACAAGCTGTGAAAAGCTGATTCATGCCCTCCAGAAATGTCTCCAGTTGGAAGCCCCTGTGGGTGCAAAGCTCCACAAGGAGTGGAGATCCAAGGGTCCCCAGCGGGGTTGCCCTCAACAGCGTGGTGAGCACGTAAGCAGCAAGCACAGGAGACCCTGGCTCCTGACCAGAAGAGCTCCAGGCTCCTCTCTGGTCGCGCTGAACCGTCACTGATCCTTCACAGCGGCCAAGGTTTTGGGAGCATCCCATCTCACAGGGGCTGGAGCAGCACAGGCGTCCTGTTAACAGCCAGTGTGGGATGCAATGGCACCATCCTCGCTGGGGATGGAGGTGCTTGCACCCAACTCCTGGGTACCACAGCACAGCACTTCCACCCCAGCCTGGGCTGCGACCGTACCAGGCTTGTGGCCATGCATGGATTGAGGGTGACAGCGAGTTTTTTGGCCAAGAGCAGGCAAAACCATGATTGCCATTTGCTGATGGTAATTGCCATCTGCTGATGCAGAGCAGGGAGAAAGACCCAGGGCTCATCTGAGCAGTGCTTGTGAAAGGGGGCTGGGCCTGTGTACACGCAGCACCCATGAGATACTGGAGCAGTCCCTTTCAGAGTCTGGAGACCAGCCACAGCAAAAACAGGGAACAGGAGGGATGAAACCAGGAGACAAAATGTGCTTTTGGGCAACAAATGACTTGAGAGAGAAACAGGGAACTTGGCTGGAATCAAGGAGCCATGGGAAGATGCCACACCACCCAGGGATGTGCCCATGGACTGCCCAGGCCCTTATCCAGAGGGGCTGCCTCTGGATAGAAGTGATGAGGCTGTTATCAGCTGGCAAAGTGAAGGGATGGGAGAGATGGAGGAGGTCAGAGCCCTGGAAGCCACATGGCCTTGGAGAGCTACAAGTAAAAGGCTGAATTGCCAAAAGAAATTCACAGCCCTTGTCAGAGGTGCTGCCGGCAGCAGGAAACAGGGCCCTGGGGACAGTCCAGGCTGTGGCTCGGCCGGCATGGGGCTGTGCTGGCAGCGAGGCTGCTTCAGTAATGGTGCATATGTGGGTCATCTGCCCCTGCATTAAGCTCCCTGCTTTTTGAGAGTTTGGGATAAGTTTACACCTTGACGCGTGAGGCTTAATATCCCTTCCAGAATTTGTATTGGCATCCTCTATTATAGCTGGATATTTTTGTTGTCCCTGTTAAGTGCCCAATCCCGCATTGAATCCTGCTAAATTTTGGCCCAAGCATTTTCCTGTGGCAGTCTAATTAAGCACAGAGTGAGAAAAAAAATACTTCCTTTTATCCGCTTTGGATTCATCACCTTCAGATTTGAAGGTGTAGTCCCTTCTCTCTGGTGCTCTGGGCCCCCTCGCCATCCCATTGCATCCCTGTCCTGCAACCTATGCTCTCAGTGCCCAGGGAGCAGCCCTGGCTTTGCATCCCCTCTTCCCCCTGTAGAGTTACCCCAGCCCTCTCATAGTGTCCTGCATGATGTTGTGCCTCTCGGTGGGTTGGCTGGATGGCAGCGAGCGTGAGATCTGCTGGGAAAGGATAATAATAAACCAGAGAAGCTCTGAGCACCCAGGAATAACCTGCTGACCACGGGGCCACGAGCCGGGATGGCAGAGTGCATCGGTGACAAATGGAACTTGCCCTTTGGTGCAGAGTTGTTACTATATAAGGAGGATAAAATTGTTCGTTGTCAGAGCAGTAAATTAATATTCTTATTGTGTGTTTGGAAAAAGAGGTCTGGCACGCTAGTAACTGCAGTGAAATAATCCATCATTGTTTCATCACCAAGAACAGCAAATGTTAAACAGAAGGGGTGGGTTTCACTCGGAGGCCCGCAGGATTTGGACAGGCTTCCAGAAGGGTGCTCAAAACCTGGGGCAACAGCATCTCTTGGCTGCGTTGAAGGGCATTGCCCCTGCTCCATCGGAGTCACGGGGAGGCATTCCCAGGATTTCTGTAGCCATTCTGGTTGACCAAAGAGAGGATTTAAGACTATCTGCTCACTCACGGCCTTTGGGTTTTTCATCAAAGCACTTTGCTGGGAAAGTGTAGAGAAAGAGGAAAGAGGGTCAGGACACCCCTTGGCATGTTGCAGAGGGAGCTGGGCAGTGGGAATAAGGCTGGTGGTCCCCACACACTGTGGCTGTGCATTGGGAATAAGGCTGGTGGTCCCCCACAGCCTGTTGGTCCTGCTATTCCCCCACCTGACCACTTTCCTTCCCCCACTTTTGCGTCTCTGGACACCCACCTGGTCCCAGCACACCCCCCTCATGGGCGATCCAGAGCATTTTGATCCAGCTTGTACCAGAGAGGGCTTGTAGCTTGGAATGCAGCAGCTGGAGCTGGACTTTAGTTTGGGTTCTTGAGGGATGCTGTGACTGGAGAAGTTGACACCCTCTCCCGCTGTGCCAGACTGTGCATCCTGGAGGAAATTTTGCCATGGAGACTGAAAGAAGACAGCCGGTTTTGGTCTTACATCTCAGGGGACAACTGAGACACGGGGAAGAGCTGCAAAAGGGATATAGAGGCTGGAAGAGTGCCTCTCTGGAAGTGCAGTCACTTTATCAGGCAGAGGCCAACAGCAGGGACTGACTGCCGGTCCAGGCATGCCAGTGAGGAGCAGTCACCATCCCTGAGCATCCCGGGATCCTGCAGAAGCTCACATCCATGTCTCAACATTCTCCCAGCAGGACCCAGCTCTCCTGCCTAGCCTGGCTGTTGGACTGTAGCTGTGCCTAAGAGCACCCTGCCAAGGGCACAGCAGTGCTGGCCTCCTCTCCCAGAAAAGGCTGGGTACCCCCTCTGCAGAGTGGCTGTCCGAGTGCCCAGTGCCAGGGATGAGGCCCAGTGGACGGGCAGGGACAAGTACCCAAGCCAGTGGGTGCTGGGATGAGGTGACAGCAGCCCACCCCAGCCTCACAGGAGGCTTGGAGGGTAATAAAAGATGCTGGACAAGTTGCCATCAGCAGGATCCAGGAGGGTTATAAAACCTGAATCTCCTGAGCCTTCAGCTGGGACTGCAGCTGCAGAGCAGGAAGCAAACAGGATCCCGGCTGGCATTGTGAAAGCAAACACCATAAATCCGAGGAAGTGCTGTGATTGCTGTTTTAGGCACTGGGGAACTTGGCTCCTGTTCCCCAAAGGTATTTTATTTTCTCTCTAAACAGAAAAAAAAAAAAAAAACAAAAAAAACAAAACCCCACAACCCCAATTTATTGCTGGGCCAAACTGCCTTGGTGCTGCCATGGACTACCCAAGGCACCAGGGCAGGTGCAGGTAGATGCCAGCTCTGAGCGATGTCACTCACTTGACTGCTCACTGGCACGGCCAGGTCCTGGGGAGAAGTGAGCAGAGGGGTCAGAGAGAGCTGGGCAGCCAGAGGCTGGGGAGAGGCACAGGAGGGGACAGAGGGCTACCCAGGGAATGACAGTCTGCTCACGGCATCCTTCATCCTGCAGCTGGTAAGCCAGATGGGATAGCTTGTGGAGGCTGGAGTACTGGCAGGATCAGATCCAGCTCTACCAGCAATGAGGCTGTTGCTCCAAAAAGGAGACAAAGCAGAGGGGACATGATGAAAAGCTTGATGTCACCTTGTTGCAGAATAATTCGAATTTAGTAGTAGAATGGCTAAGGCTTAGTAGGAGAGTAGGCCCAGAAAGCAATGCTTCAAAGTAGTAAGCTAGCAACCTTGTTTGTGAGTGTGGAATGTGCTGAAGAGATGGCAACAATAATCAAAGGATTAAGTCAAGCATGTATATAATGATTTGTTACCTGGGATGTGGTAAGGGTCTGTTAATCAGTTTCTAGGGGTAAGACAGCTTAAGTAAGATTTATGATTAGAATAGATGATTATTAATTGTTATCAGTATGAAGTATGAGCTTGCTTGTAACTGTTTTGTTGTAGAAACTGCTATGAGCTTGTTTGTAACTGAATGTAACTGTTTTGCCGTGGAAACAGCATGTAAACTTGTTTGTGTATAAAAGCTGAACTGAGAATAGAGGTCTTTGGAATCCTGACTTGGGACGCTAGTCCTCAGGTTCCCGGGGCCCGGAATAAAGCACCGCATAAACCGGCACTCTGTTGGTTTGTGGTTTTATTTGTTACGGGCAACAACCTTACTTTGCAGGCTGGCTGCCTGCTGGATGGAGCTCAGTGCCAGTGGAGGAGCATGGACCAGGAGATGTGCTGACATGACCTGCATCTACCAGGGGTGTCTGTGCATCAGCACCCATACCCTGACCCTCCTCACAGAGGAGAGACATTCCTGTGCCATGGGCTGGGCACAGTATTTCACAGGGTCTCTACAAGCCCTGACTGGATGGTGTCTGTGGGACAGGATCTGTTGTGGGATGGTGTCTGTGGGTCCCCTGCTGTGGGACAGGATCTGTGGGATAGGATCTATTGTGGGATGGTGTGTGTGGATCCCCTGCCACGGACAGGATCTGGTCTGGGATGGTGTCTGTGGGTCCCCAGCTGTGGGATGGGCTCTGTGTTCTGGGCAATCCCATGCTGTGGCTCACTCAAGCTCTCTTGCCCTCTTGTCCTCTCACATGGTCTCATCCTCCCTTGCTCACCCCCCTACTCCATTCCTTTCCATTATCCCTTGGCACTCTCCCAGGTCGTTTAGCCTAGCTGTGGCTGCTCTGTGCCAGGCCAGGTTTTGGCATCACTGGGTTAGCCAGGCATCCCCGCTACCCTCAGCCCTGGCTCTCCAGCACCCCGGATATCCCAACACCCTAGGTATGCCACAGCCCATGGCTCTGCCCAGGCTCCCCTCAAGGAAACGTGCCATGAGGTCGTGGGGTGTTTAGGAAAACAGGCCTTGGCACTTGCTGGCCATCCTGGGAAAATAAAAACATCCGGGCAGGCAGCCACACAGTGAGTGCGAGAGGCTGGCACTCCATAAATCCCCTGGAGCAGGTGCTTTGTAGTCGGCACAAGGAAATGAGCACATTATTCAACTCGGCTTAAACCTCAAAATGTTTCCTGTCCTGTGAGTCAGAAATAACCCTGGGAGATCATTCCTAGGCCACGCAGGAGCCACACGAGCCAAAAAAGTGCCAGGTACTTGTTGGGCCCAGGGACCTGTCAGGGAGGTCAGGAGTCCAGGCCACTGGCACTGACCCCAGCATACAACTGCTCTGGGACATGCTGGGGACACCCAGGGGACTCCCAGACCAGTTCTGGACACCTTGCTTCATTGGGATGCAAGGACAGGGAGAGCCCCAGGAGACCCTGAGGATTTCTGGATCCTGGGTGGATCCCGCAGATCTCTGGCCTCTCTCTGGTGTCAGAGAGACAGATACCCCTGCACACTGCATTGGCCCAGTGCATCACTGTTGGCTGGCACTCACAGGGGCACCCTGGGGTGCTACCCTGCTTTAGGGACATCCTACAGGAAAAGCCATGGATGGCTGGTGGATTCGTGGTGGAAGAGATGACCTGGGCATAGAGCCGGGACTCCACATACTCAACCTCAGGGTCCCAGAGAAAATGGAGAAGAAAACACTGCAGCAGGTGTCCCTGGCTTGGCACAGTCAGCACCTGCTGAGGGGTGTTACAGGTGACATGTCCTGCCCTGGTGCCCTGCAAGGGTAGGGTCTCTCCTCAACCCCCCAGCAATGAGATCCCTGGGACAGGTTTGTGTGGCTGTGCCCCCGGTGTCCTGGTGCAGTCCTAGGAGGAGTATGGGTCACGATGGATTGCCATGGACCAACACAGTCCACCATAGACCACCATGGAAATCTCTGGTCAGACATGGCCATATGGACTGCAACAGACCACCATGGACCACCATGGACCACTGAAGTCTACAGTAGACCACCATGGAAATCTGTGGACTGCTGTAGACCACCAGGGACCACCATGGATCATCGTGCACCACCATGGACCACAGTGGTTGGTCATAGACTGCCACGGACCCCCACAGACCACCATGGACCACCATGGACTACCGTGGACTGTCATGGATCACCAAGGATGACCATAGGCCATTATGGACTGTCATGGACCACCATGGGTGGCCTCAGGAAGCTCTGGACCACCAGAGACCACTGCAGTACATCATAGGTGATCATGGACTGCTGTAAACTGCCATGGACCACCATGGACTGTCATGGACCACCAAAATCCAACATAGATCATCATGAACCTCTGTGGACTGTTCCAGACCATCGGACACTACCATGAACTTCCATGGCCCACCACAGACTGCCATGGACCACTACAGATCACCAGGACCAGGGTGCACAGCCCTGTGCAAGGAAGCCTTGTCAGCTTCAAGGTGTGGGATGCCCCTAAAACACAGCATGAAACTGTGGGACAGGGAAGGTGCGATGGAGTTAGAGAAACCCTAAAGCATGGTGAGCCCCAGCCCTACATCCCACAGCGAGCAGGCTGAGGGGACAGCGAGGGTAGTGGGCCCAGTGAGACCCCATCCCCACCTCGGCTCCTCTCCCCCTGTGGGCACTTGTGAGGGGACGCCCTGCTCTGAGGAGAACTGGGGCAACCACCCCCTGAGCCCTCTGGCTGTCTGAGTGTACAAGTGGGAGTGGGCACAGCTGGGTGGATTGTAGCTGGTGCTACTGGGTGTACGGGTGTGTGGTGTACAGTATGTGTATGGTGGTGTGTGTGCAATGTGTGTATGGGATGTGTGCAGTGCAGTGTGTGGGGGGGGTTGTGCAGTGTGTGTATGGGGTGTGTGTGCAGTGCACGGTGTGTGTGCAGTGTGTGTGGGGTTGTGCAGTCTGTGTATGGGGTGTGTGCAGTGTGTGTATGGGGGTTGTGCAGTGTGTATATGGGGTGTGTGTGCAGTGCAGTGTGTGTGCAGTGTGTTTATGGGGGTGTGTGCAGTGCAGGGTGTGTGTGCAGTGTGTGTGGGATGTGCAGTGTGTGTGGGATGTGCAGTGTGTGTATGGGGGTTGTGCAGTGTGTGTATGGGGGTTGTGCAGTGTGTATGGGGTGTGTGTGCAGTGCACGGTGTGTGTGCAGTGTGTGTATGGGGGGGTGTGAGGTGTGTCCTGCACACTGTGTGCACAGTGCATGTGTGGTGGGTGCACGGTGTGTGCGGTGGGTGGGTGGTGCAGGGTGTGTGCACGGTGCATGGCGTGTGTGCGGTGCACGGTGTGTGCGGTACCGAGGCGGTGCCCGGGCCCCCTCTGCTGGCTTGCACACGCACACACCGAGTGCCCCCGCACCCACACCCCCCCGCCAAGGGCACCCCACGCACCCCATCCCTCCCGCAGCGAGTCCCCCCCAACTTCTCCCGCTCTCCCTCCACCCCCTTTGCTTTTCTTCCACATATCTCTATTTTTGTTTCCAATTTCCCAGAGTCGTTCCTCCGCTGGCTGCGTCCCGCCCGCGGCAGGTCCTGCGGGAGCACCACCACCTCCCGGCGGAGCGGCCCGTGCTTGCTCCCTGACCACTGCGCCCAGGGAGAGGACAGCGCGAAGGCTTTTCCCACCCAGGCTGCTGCCAGTCCCTCTGTCCCCTCTTTGCTCCTGGGCCTGTGCCACCGGAGACTCGGAGATGCCACTGTGGCTCAGGACACGAGTCACAGGGCTGGGGGCACAGAATCTGCTACCATCAGAGCCCCATGAGCAGGGCTGATTTCACAGAGGCTGTGGTCTCCGGCGGGACCATCATCACCCCATCATGCCCAGCCTCACACTCCACAGGGAAGCTCTTCCAGACCCTTCCAGCTTCTCCTTTCGGTTATCTCTGCTGTCAGTCGGATTTCACTGTCCTTTGGCTCCGTGCTACGCTGGCCCGGGGTATTTATAGCCGGCAACCCAATCCCCCCGACTTGGGTTGTGCCGGGCTGGGTGAGCCGAGCTCCGTGACCCCGCGACGGGAAGGACGCGTCACTCACGGTGGGGACACCCGCAGCGGTACAGGCGGGGACAGTGAGAGGGGCTGTGATTCCCGGCAAGCCTAGTGGCACAGGGACCCGTACCGGGGCACCACAGGGTGCCGTGCCTTGGCGCTGCTTTTCTCCGGTAGCCTGTCCCAAATCCCAGGAGAGGACAGCGAGCCCCTGTCCGCCGCTCAGCGCAGCATCCCTCACGCGCCCGAGCCCCGCGGGACGTTGCAGGGCCGGTGACACCCGCAAACGCCTGCAGGGTTCCCGTGAAGACACTGCGCTCCCCCTGCGCTCCCACACACAAGCATGCCGTCCCACATAGCTCTGAGCCATGGGGCAGTGGCTGGCAACACACACCCGCAATCCCCTCCAGCCTCTATCGCCCCCCACCCCCGCCCGATGGGAGCAGGCAGCAGGCTGGGAATGCGAGGAATGCACCGCAGGCATGCTGCCCCCGCCGAGCCCCCCTTGCTCTACCGAGGCACCCCTGCAAACAAACGCACGGCACCTCTGTGTCCCCCCGGGCGGGGGGGCGCCCCATGGCAGCCCATGGCATCTCCTTAGATACTTCCCAAATTCCCGGAAGGACGGGTAACCCCGCTCTGCCCGAGTTATCCCAGCCCCACGGCGCCCTAGGGGCTTGCACGGGGTTCCCTGCCCCATAGTCACCCTTGACTCCAGAGCACTCCGCTGTGCTCCCCTCGCAGACGCCCACCCTCCTACCCCACAGGTTGGAGCCTTAAAACCCGCAGTGGTGACGTGCCCACTGCCCCAGTTCCCTGCCACCCCCTGGCCTCAGCCACCCCTGCCCCACCAGGCTGGGTGTCGCTGGGCAGCAGCACACCAGGTCGCTGTGGCAGAGGTCCCCACTTGCACCCTCCACTACTGGGGGGACCTCCTGGCTGCCAAGGATGTTTGGATCCCTAGGGCACTCAGGTTCTCCGGGTCCAATTCCCCAGTTGCCCCCCCCTGCATCCCAAATCCCGGGTAGCTCTCCAACTGCC